AGCGGGCTTAGCGGTGATCACGATTTTCGCTTTCCTCATTTGGCGATATGCTGCCAAGAGATCCAGAATACAGAAAAATCAACGAACATGTGAGTAAATATCTATTCAAAACCGACCTACTAAATGTTTTTGACATACGTTGTTTTATATTTATATACGCTGGTCGCTATAGATACTGTGAGTAACGTTAATTAATCTCATTGTTTCAGGTGAAGAAGCCAGTGAAATCCACACGTATGTATTCGTTAACTCTGTAATAAACTATCACTCCCTGCCAAACAGGAGGCAATTGTACACAATTGCAGCTTTTCCACAATATGAACATTTATAAAAATAATGATTGGACAAGTAGACTAAAAGCGAACCAACATATTTAAGCGGAATGTTGTTTTCCCGTGATTATGTCCAATCCCAGATATTTTTCCCGTTATCTCTGCCGCTATCCGAAGCATTATCGCTGAGATATAACCTAAGCTCTGATGTTATTTGTCCTCAGGGAGTCCTTGGGATTGCAAGTCATACGTAACGAGCCTTTTCCATATGGAGCTTGCAACTTATCCTCCCCCGGTGACCCTGAATGGGAAATACCACGAGCGAGGCTGAATGTAGAGAAGGTCATTGGACGTGGTGCATTTGGCGTGGTCTCACGAGGCTTGGCATTAGACCTGCCGGGAAAACCAGGATGGACTGTGGTAGCAGTGAAGAGTGTTCAAGGTTACATTTCTTAATTTTTTTCTTTCATTAAACAAAAAAACCAAAAAAAAAAAAAAAGCAAAACAAAAAACAAGAAATACATTTACGTTCGGAACCATCGAGCTTTTATACAAAAAACGCCGATATCGTGAACTTTAGGTGAAATGAGTGCTGGAAAGAAGTTAGAAACTGTAAGTTTGATCATTCCAGTTTCAACCTGAATTTTTTTTCGTTGGTGTTTTTTATAAAGAGGATGCTTCTGAAAAAGAGAAGAGAGACCTGTTGTCTGAGATGTCAGTCCTTAAACACCTTGATCCTCACCCTCACGTCATTCGCCTGTACGGCTGTGTTACTACTGAAGGTGAGCTTGAGGCAGTCGCATACTTGCTGCCAAATGTAGTTTTGTGTTATGAACCCGTTTGCTGTCAACGACGCATTCGAAAGTGATACTAGAGTGCAAGAGTCTTTCTTGTTAAAAATCCCTTCGTTTTATGAATCCGTGTCACTGTTGACGGCACTTTTAATGTTAGAAACGAATTGTTTGATTATTGCTTCGTTGTAGCATGTTTATGCGTCAGTTACAGTTTGTAACTAAGAGTGCTAAGTGCTAAGGTTATGCAGCGGTTTGTGTTCAAAGGTCTTATCTTATTGTGTATTTTAAAATAACGTAATGCATAAGATTTGTTTTCAGATGTCCCTAGGTTGGGGGACTTGTTAAGTTTCGTTTAAAAAATCGTCAACTGCACTATGCATTCTGACAGGAGTTCTTTCGTGGGCTCTTGAGTCTGGTTAAAGTCCCCCATAAGGTGTAGTAAACCAGTATTCTTATAAACAAATGTGCTTCATGAATGTATCGCTTTCATGTTCATATTTAGGCTTACTACGCGACTGTTATCCAAGACTTCTTAAGGAAATCTAGTTGGTAATGAGGATGACCAGGTTACCTTTAGTTAGTTTGTAACGAATAAATCGAGACAAAGCTGATAACCAGTAACCAAACGAATATTCTTGTATTCAGCCCGGCTCCTCGTAGTTGTCGAGTATGCGCAGTCTGGTGACTTGCTTGGGTATCTCAGGAAGAGCCGAGGAGTTCGAGATAACTACTACAGTGATCCCTCTTTCGAACCTCGCACCGACCTTACCTCTAAGCAGCTCCTACGGTTCGCATGGCAGATCAGTGATGGAATGGACTACTTGTCGAAGAAAAAGGTTACATTTTCACCTTCTGTTGTACTTCGAATCTCGTTTACTGGGGTATTGACTCCCTTAAAAAATACTTTAGTTCCTTTCAAATGTTGATTTTGTTAAGTTTCTGCACAAAAGAATAGAATGATATGAATATCTATGTAAATCCTAATCGTTCAAAGGTTAACACATATTTGTGTTTCGGCATTAGATCATTCATCGTGACTTGGCCGCGAGAAATGTATTGGTTGGTGACGAAGACGTTTGCAAAATCACAGATTTTGGAATGGCCAGAGATGTCTGGAAAGAGGACATATATGTGCGAACCCATGAGGTAATTGTTTATGACATATTTTGAGGTAAAGTCTATTTGAGCAGCGTGATTTAACAGTACTTTTGAACCCAGTCCCTCTTTTCTCCACAAAGCAAAGTCGTAAAAGAAGGTAACATGAAATTAACTTACTGATTTTGTGAAAAACATGCAATCGCATAGTCTGCATGTTTGCGGTAGGGGAGAATAAAACATGACATAAATGCAACTCTAAATATGGAAATGAAATATGGATATGTTGTTTAAAACTCCTTCATAATCACTTTGGTTTCCTTCCTTGGTTTTAGGGCCGTCTTCCAATTAAATGGACGGCACCCGAAGCTCTATTTGGAAGTGGTGCATACACGACACAGAGTGATGTGTAAGTTTGTTTTGTACATAAACATACGCGCAAATATCACCACAATATAATTATTATAAGATTTCTGTAATAGTCCATAATATTCAGCGTTTGAACACATGACGATGGACTGGAATAAGGGAGTATAATAAATAAATGACTACGTCAATTGAAGTTACCCCTTTTGGGCTTTTTAGCCACAATGGCAGGATTCAGATCAGTGGGCTATTTACAGAGTGCAGCCGAGGAGTTGAATTAGGGGCAACCAAGAACAAATCCAGTGAGTGGCAGGGTGCAGGACTTGAACCCGGGACACCGGGTTACAAGTATAGCACCCTAACCACTCCGCCACGCCATCTCCTAAGTATCGGTTAATATGTAAAATATTAAAGGAATAAACTTTTCTTTTCATAAAGGTGCTACGTCGGCAGAGGAGTATAACAAAAAAAAAAGGGTGTTATCAAATGAGTTGATAATGTAAATTGGCCACCGTAAAGAATTTGTGAGCTGACGTATCAAGCATTAGCTCTTCGTCTGGGTGAATGAGTTGGGGCTGACTTTCGAAATGTCAGCTAACAACAAGCAAGATTCATGGAAAAAATTATTTAAAACTTGCTTTTTCACTTTCTGATCCCTACTTTAGGGAATCTACTTTTCTAAAACAAGAATTAACAAACAAAAGGAATTAGTATGAGTTTTTCACAAGCTGGCTAAACTTCGTGCAGCATATGAACGTTCAAAGAGACTGTGGGGCTGCGATGCTGGTCCCAGGTTGAAGCCCTCCATCCTGCTACTCACAGGATTTCGTCTCCATTACACAAGTTCAATTCGCTGATCGTGTTTTTTTTAAGGACTGACTGGCCTACCTCTTGCCAGATTGGGTTCTTAAACACTATGTATATGTTTATTTACAATATTTATCTTCAATTTGTTTGAATTTAAGGACCACAAGTTTATCAGTTTGTGACGGCATGTTTAGTGTCACCTTCAGTAAACAAGTCTTAAATCTTATCCCAAAGGGGCAAGACATTTGAACAGTCTTGAATTTTCATCATTATGTAAATTGTAGGTGGAGCTTTGGTGTGGTCATGTACGAGATCTTCACTGTCGGTGAGTTCAAATGAGATTTTTGGAAATTGAGCTTAAAAAAAATGCTCTTCAAAATGAATAGATGCTAACAACTCAATGGTTTTCAAAAATTCTCTTTCAACGCACATGTTGAAATGTCGCTATAAGATTAATAGCAACTAACGGTAACGGTAAAGAATGAAATAAGCAACATACTAACAAGGTCCTGGCATCTCTAATTCGCCCACAAAGGAAGCTCTTTCCTGAGGATCCCGTATGCTAAATATTGCTTTCTTCTGAAGAGGAGCTTTAATACACTATTACCCATGTAATAATTTCGATATATCAAGAAAGTTAAAATGGTAAATTGGCCACCGTAACGATTACAAAAGCTGACGTTTCGAGCGTTAGCCCTTCGTCAGCTTTGAGTTTGTAATCGTTACGGTGGCCAATTTACCATTTCAACTTTGTTGACATATCAAAATTATTTCGTTAACCCCACCCCCCGACGCAGCCCCAAACAGTTTCTTTAAAAACTATCATCCTTTATTATCCATGTACATCGTTGGTCGAATCACACGTCTAAGGATGCACAAAGATATTTTGGGCATTATTTGTCTGGGAAAGGTTACACTATTCTTAGTTTCCCTCTAATAACCGTTCTGTGTTAACTCTAAACAGGTGGAGACCCGTTTCCTGGGGTGTATATGAGAGATATCCCCGCCTTGTTGAAGGACGGGTACAGGATGCCGCGCCCAAAGTTTGTCAGTGAAAAACTGTAAGTAATTATCATCGGGAAACAGATAGTCAGGGTTTATAGGCAACAACAATAGAAATGCTCAACTTTCCTTTACTTTTTTCCTTCATTGCCTTTTAGCGGAGAGCTTAAACAGAGATCATTCTTTGAGAAATGAACATGAGACCCAACCGATACTCTTTTACAATTAAAAGCTGTCACAGTGGACAGAAAAAGTGTGATAAACACCGGCTTAAAGGGAAATACCATTCTTTGCTTCGAAGATATCTACTGTGCTGGTTTGTGAACAGTATGGAGGCTTTCTTTTCCTTGAGCCACTATTTAAAAATGTCGGTCCGTATAATATAGATTTTCTCTGTAAGATGTAACATTCCATAGAGGGAAACTCATAATGAAGATAGGAATGGAAGATTGAAGTAGGTGTCACTGGTTATCTTTTTTTTTTTTTCAAACAGGCACAGCATCATGATGGAATGCTGGAAGAATGAACCCTTAGAAAGGCCAGACTTTGAGTGTCTTCGGTCACGAATACACAGCATGGTCAGGGACGCAGAACAGGTTAGGACTGGAACGTTTGATTAAAGAGCTAGGGCTAAATCTTTGCAATTAAATTTAAAAGATTCTCTAAAAGTCAATACGATTATCATTTAACAATATTACGGCTTCCTATCTGGTATGATATGGTTTCTTGTATTTGTTTTAAACTGTTGCTTTCTCTTTTCTTACTCAGGATTATGTCAACTTGAAAGGGCTGTTATATGAAAATGTGTTACCAACCAATTTAAGTGAAGAATTTTCAGCCTAGCAACTGAGCCAAATTTAACAAAATCAATACAGATATAGTTCCCACGCAAAGAAAGCAGTATAAAAAGACTAAAACTATAGCAATAATCAAAGAATAGTAAAGTATGTTCGATGAGATATCTTATGTAAGAAGTGAATGCTATAGCTAAAAAGAATATAAGAAGTATTATTAACCAACTACACCACAAATATCTCGCGGTATTTGTACTCTAGCTAGAGAACCGGTTAGACAGGTTCTCTCGCATCGCGCAAGCGACGAGTTGGATGAAGTTCCAGAAAAAAAAAAAATGATGGACAATTTAATCATTTTTCTAACGACGAAGGGTCGGAATGGCTTGCAAGTATTGATCTAAGTTTGTCAGATAAATCGAAGGAAGAAAAGCAGTTAGAGGACATTGGAATTTCATCATCTATTAAAGAAAATAGAAACAGCAACACGACAACGCGACAATTCCGTTCCGCTTCGTATACTTCTGTCACGCACTCCCCGTGAATAAATATCCGCGAAATTTGCCCGCATTGAAATAACAGTTTGGCGTGTTGGATAATGAATAACTTATTAGAAATTTTGATGTGTCGTATCGCAGAGTATCTTTGCTCGTTATTTGTATTTTAACTCGCCTTACGGGCTGGTCAAAATACGACACAACTCAAAAAAATACTTAGCGGTACTACTCAACAAAACGTCTAATGAGATGTATTTATTTGTGGTGTGCAGTAGTATTTGCCGGGTAAAATGAGGTACAATTGCATTCTAAAATAGTCTGCCACTTCTAGTGAGTTACATAGAAAGGGTGTAATAGTATTTTTGAAAACGACAACGATGAATGTGAACCATGTTTAATAAGAAAACAACAATAAAAGCAATAAAAGGTGAACACGACTCCGCGTTTTAGCTAACTGAGCACAAGTCATGGCCAATTTGCGAGCTACACAGCGAGGTGATCAAGTTTTCTGAATTCAAATCAAACTGTACAATTCGGTGAGTAAGATACAAACTTGGACAGAAGAGTAAAATTTCGCATAAATCTGTTTTCATGACACAGCTATTGTTTGTTGTTGAATGCGAGCTGGGTGAAATCACAGCTTGTCTTCGCGACAGGAGTCGGTGTACTTATCACAGCAATTTGCAACTTAACTGCTGAGAGAAGGAACGAGTCGGGTATCCATTTTAAGCCCTCTTCCTTTGGCCATAATGCACTTGGCTTTTATTATTATGTCAACGCTTTTGCTGGGCTTGATTTCCTTTGCTCTCTGGAGTCCAGTCTTTTTCGTTTCTGCCCGAGAAGAGAGTCTTCCGGTAGCAGGAGCCCGGGCTCCGGTTCCTGAATAGCGGCTGATAATCGAGCCTACGTTTTTGCCCCCGACCAAATTTGTATCCGCCTCGCGTCCTTTGAAATTTGCTCTAGTCTGTATTAGGATTATGTTTCACTTCGTCGAACATTAAAAGTTTGTACGTAAAAATAAAGAGATTTAGACGGAATAACACTGGAAATCTCTTGTCGAATTATAGACGTAATTCTAAGAAGTATCAAGAGAAATGTAAACGCATTCAAAAATTAGTTCATCCTGAGCAAAAACGGTACAGCGAAAAAAACCAATATGACGTTAAATGGATAAACACGAACTTGTAAAATGTTGCATTCATTAAAAACTTGAACTCTTATTTAGTTAAAACTACAAGCATAAATACATAGATTTTAAACATGTTCATGTACTTAATATATGGAGTCAATGTTAAGCAAATATTAGCATCCGTAGGCAGCCCGTAAATCACGCTCTGATTAACTTATTATGACTACTTTGAATAAAGATGACAAAGAACAGCCAGNACAATAAAATAATTCACTAAAAACAAAGCCATTTATAAGTAATAAAAGTGTTTTCTTATCTAAAAGGTGCTTAATTTTTCTAGAGGCTGTTTTAGTAATATGCACTTCATAGTTAAGATATTGCTCAACATATACCCCGAGATCCTTAGCAAACGAAACTGGTGAGGTAGTCTTGCCCAGCAAAGTTAAGGAGATATGAGGTAGCCTCTTAAAAAGTTGTGCTGAGCCAAAAACCACTACTTATGTCTTCTCGGGATTTATGAGTATCCTCTTTCGTACCTCTCTCTGGGTCGTAAGAGACTCTTCTCACACGGTCTAATTCTGATGGATACGAAAAAAAGTGAATTTGGATTAAATAAATGACCCAGTGGGTATGAAGATGTCCACTAGAACATACCCTCCAAATAGAAAGAAGGTTGTAACCTTGAGAAGCATGAGCAAGAAAGTAGATTCATGAAATAGATTCATGAACAGTGTTCGTCAATAAAACTCACTCTTTTGGTCCTTTTTTAAATAATAATTCAAGTAAACGTGGATAATTTTTATCATTCACCACGCGTAACTAATTCTGGGTTTTCACCCATCGCAAGAAAGCAGGATATTGGCCCAATTTTCTGCTCCTTGCGGCGGGGAAATAAGTTGAAGTACGTTTTTGAGACACGTATCCACAAAGCATTTAAATGTCATATTTCTTAGTTAAGGATACTTCCTACTTTCAAGGGCGTCCTTAGGGAAAAAAATTCGTACGCGCGTTAGTTTGAAGAAAACCCTAACAAACTATACAAAAACAAAGCTTAATAAATGCAATAAAAATATAATTTAGGCGATTTTTTCATTTAGGAAGTATCAGGAGCCAGTAAGCCGTGAAACGACCGAGGGTCCTTCTATTGAATTTATCAGGTATCGGATCCCGCGGCCCGAGAAAAATGGCTGCACAGTCTCATTCACAAGGGATCAATGAACAAAAGTGTGCCAGGCTTTTCCGATATTCTGATTGGTTGCCTAGATATTCGCATCTAAAGTTAGAGTAGCGAAAAATATGCGAAGCCTGTTGCGTAAATGGACACCACGTAAAAAAATATTTCAAATATCAAAATTTCCTTACACACTTTTGTTCGTCATCATCCCTGAAACTTTTGGGCGAGATTACACGAAAATCGGTTAAATGAATGGATGTATTCCTCTCAAAATCAAATGCAGATTTTAGCTCTTAAAGATTTGTAAAAAAGTAGCGCCACACCAGGAGATTATCTCGCCTCCTGAAACCGCAAACCAATGATGCCGCCGAAGAAGCGGTTTAGAGGAAGGCCGAGTCTGCCTGGCTCGGCAAAGGTTATTCGACTTCGAGAGTCTGTGTATGATTTATGGAGGGCAAGGAAAACAACCATGGGTTTCGGTAACACTACAGACAGTGCTTTTGCAGAAATTTTATTGCAGTGTTCCTACGATGGAACTAGAGACTACTGGGAGATTTTTTCGAGGAGAGAATAACTCTTTGACTGATTTTTACTTGAGATCCTGAGATATGTATACAGGCGATCTCATTTGTACAAGTCATTATTCTATAATTGAAATGCGTAAAGTCGATCAGTTTTGGCCAATATTGGTCATTTGTTTATGTTTTATTAGTGTTGAAGCCGAACAATTTCCTTCAACATCAAGTAAGCTTTGTACAATTTTTATACACAGACTCGATTTATGATTTTTCATTCTCAAATATTTAGCTGCAAATTTGTTTACTGTGTTTTTCACTAAATCTTTGTTTTTCTTTTTAATAGTGTTTGGGAATGACAATCAGAGTTCGCCATTTAACAATAGCGCGATTCCAAAACCAAAACAAACGACTGCGAAGGATCTCGGATGGAAATGGGCCTTTAAGAAAATCTAGTTCGTCATGAGTATGAACAGGTTACCTTTAGTTAGTTTGTAATGAATAAATCAAGACAAAGCTGATAACCAGTAGCCAAACGAACTTTCTTGTATTCAGCCCGGCTCCTCGTAGTTGTCGAGTATGCGCAGTATGGTGACTTGCTTGGGTATCTCAGGAAGAGCCGAGGAGTTCGAGATAACTACTACAGTGATCCCTCGTTCGAACCTCGCACCGACCTTACCTCTAAGCAGCTCCTACGGTTCGCATGGCAGATCAGTGATGGAATGGACTACTTGTCCAAGAAAAAGGTTGCAATTTCACCTTATGTTGTACTTCGAATCTCGTTTACTGGGGTATTGACGCCCTCTAAAAATACTTTAGTTCTTTTCAAATGTTGATTTTGTTAAGTTTCTGCTCAAAAGAATAGAATGATATGAATATCTATGTAAATCCTAATCGTTCAAACGTTAACACATATTTGGGTTTTGGCATCAGATCATTCATCGTGACTTGGCCGCGAGAAATGTATTGGTTGGTGACAAAGACGTTTGCAAAATCACAGATTTTGGAATGGCCAGAGATGTCTGGAAAGAGGACATATATGTCCGAACCCATGAGGTAATTGTTTATGACATATTTTGAGGTGAAGTCTATTTGAGCAGCGTGATTTAACAACACTTTTCAACCCAGTCTCTCTTTTCTCCACAAAGCAAAGTCGTAAAAGAAGGTAACATGAAATGAACTTACTGATATATTTTGTGAAAAACACGCTATCGCATAGTCTGCATGTTTGCGGTAGCGGAGAATATAACATGACATAAATACAGCTCTAAATATGGAAATGAAATATGGATATGTTGTTTAAAACTCCTTCATAATCATTTTTGTTTCCATCTTTGGTTTTAGGGCCGTCTTCCAATTAAATGGACGGCACCCGAGGCTCTATTTGGAAGTGGTGCATACACGACACAGAGTGATGTGTAAGTTTGTTTTGTACATAAACATACGCGCAAATATCACCAAAATATAATTAATAGTCCATAATATTCAGCGTTTGAACACAGGACGATGGACTGAAATAAGGGAGTATAATAAATAAATGGATACGTCAATTGAAGTTACCCCTTTGGGGCTTTTTAGCCACAATGGCAGGATTCAGACCAGTGGGCTATTTACAGAGTGCAGCCGAGGAGCTGAATTAGTGGCAACCGAGAACAAATCCAGTGAGTGGCAGGGTGGAGGACTTGAACCCTGGACACCGGATTACAAGTATAGCACCCTAACCACTCCGCCACGCCATCTCCTAAGTATCGGTTAATATGTAAAATATTAAATGAATAAACCTTTCTTTTCATAAAGGTGGTACGTCGGCGGAGGAGTATAACAAAAAAAAAAATGGTTTTATCAAATGAGTTGATAAAGTAAATTGGCCACCGTAAAGAATTTGTGAGCTGACGTTTCAAGCATTAGCCCTTCGTCAGGGTGAATGAGTTGGGGCTGACTTTCGAATTGTCAGCTAACAACAAGCAAGATTTATCGAAAAAATATTTAAAACTTGCTTCTTTCAGTTTCGGATCCCTACTTTAGGGAATCTACTTTTCTAACACAAGAATTAACAAACAAAAGGACTTAGTATGAGTTTTTCACAAGGTGGTTAAACTTCGTTTAGTATATGAACGTTCTTAGAGGCAGTGTGGCTGCGATGCTGGTCTCAGGTTAAAGTCCTCCATCCTGCTACTCACAGGATTTCGTCTCGGTTTCCCAGGTTCAATTAATTGATTGTGTTTTTTTAAATATTAGCTGGCCTGCCTCTTGTCAGATTGGGTTCTTAAACACTATGTGTATGTTTATTTACAATGTTAATCTGCAATTTGTTTGAATTTGAGAACCAGAAGTAAATCAGTTTGTGACGGCAGGTTTAGTGTCACCTTCAGTAAAAAAGTCTTAAATTATTATCCCAAAGGAGCAAGACAGTTGAACAGTCTTGAACTTTTATCATTATGCAAATTTTAGGTGGAGCTTTGGTGTGGTCATGTACGAGATCTTCACTGTCGGTGAGTTCAAATGAGAAATTTGGAAATCAAGCTTAAAAAAAATGCTCTTAAAAATGAATGGATGCTAAAAACTCAATGGTTTTAAAAATTATGTTTCAACGCACTCGTTGAAATGTCGTTATAAGGTAAATAGCAACCAGAAAACTTCAACAAAAGAGATAAATAACGGTAAAGAATGAAACAAGCAATATAGTAACAAGGTCCTGGCATCTCTAATTCGCCCATGAAGGAACCTCTTTCCTGAAGATCCCGTATTGCTAAACATTGCTTTCTCCTGACGAGGAGCTTTAACACACTATTACCCATGTACATCGTTAGTCAAATCACACGTCTAGGGATACACAAAAATATTTTGGGTATTATTTCTCTGGGAAAGATTACGCTGTTCTTAGTTTCCCTCTAATAACCGTTCTGTGTTAACTCAAAACAGGTGGAGGCCCGTTTCCTGGGGTGTATATGAGAGATATCCCCACCTTGTTGAAGGACGGGTACAGGATGGCTCGCCCAAAGTTTGTCAGTGAAAAACTGTAAGTAATTATCATCGGGAAACAGATAGTCAGGGTTTATAGGCAACAAAAATAGTAATGCTCAACTTTCCTTTACTTCATTGAATTTTAGCCGAGAGCTTAAACAGAGATTATTCTTTGGGTCATGAACATGAGATACAACCGATGCAATCTTACATTTAAAAGCTGTCACAGTGGAAGAAAAGTTGTGATCAACACCGGCTTAAAGGGAAATACCTTTCCTTGCCTCGAAGATATCTACTTTGCTGGTTTGTGAACAGTATGGAGGCTTTCTTTTCCTTAAGAAACTCTTTAACAAAATGCAGGCCCGTATAATATAGATTTTCCCTGTAAGATAATCTTACAGTGAAGATCTATATTATGGAGTGTTACATGATGTAACACTCCATAGAGGGAAGATCGAATAGGCGTCACTGGTTATCTTTCTTTTGTTCAAACAGGTACAGCATCATGATGGAATGCTGGAGGAATGAACCCTTAGAAAGGCCAGACTTTGTGTGTCTTCGGTCACGAATACACAGCATGGTCAGGGACGAAGAACAGGTTAGGACTGAAATGTTTGATCAAATTTAAAGAGCTAGGGTTAAATCTTTGGAATTAAATTTAGAAAATTCTCTTAAAGTCAATAATACGATTATCATTTGACAATATTACGGCTTCCTATCTGCTATGATATGGTTTCTTAAATTTGTTTTAAATTCTTGCTTTCTCTTTTCTTACTCAGGATTATGTTAACTTGAAAGGGCTGTTGTATGAAAATGTGTTACCAACCAATTTAAGTCAAGATTTTTCAGTTTAACAAGTGAGCCGAATTGAGCGAAAATTGATATAGAAATAGATCTCAGGCAAAGAAAACAGTGTAAAAAGGCTAAAACTATAGTAGTAATCAAAGAAAAGTAAAGTACTTTCGATTAGATAATTTATGTAAGAGGTGAATACTACAACTGAAAAAAATATAAGAAGTATTATTATCCAATTGTGCTTTGTAGAGTACAAATAACGCGCAAGACGAGTAGAAGTATCACGCGATATTTGTACTCCAGAAATATCCGCGAAACTCGAGCGCACTGAAATAACAATTTGGCCTGTTGGATAATAAATCTCTTATTAGATGTTTTGTTGTATTAAATCTCTTATCTCTTAATAGATCTGTTATTAGACGTTTTGTTGTAGAGTCGTTGTTTGTATTTTCACTCGCCCCACGGGCTCGTCAAAATACGGCACAACTCGTAAAAATACTCAGAGATACTACACAACAAAACGTAAGATAAGATGTATAATTATCCAACTACACTCCGTAGAATAAAACTAACGCCCACGACGAGCACAAATATTTCGCGGTATTTGTACTCTAGAGAACCGGTTGGACAGGTTTTATCGCATCGCATAAGTAACCAACTGGATTGAAGTTACGTAAAAAGTGGCGGACAATTTAAATCATTTTTCTGACGAAGAAGAGTCCGAATGGCTGGCGAATATTCATTCAAGTTTATTAGATAAATCGAACGAAGAAAAGCAGTTAGACGACAATGAAATTTAATCATTTATTGAAGAAAATAGAAACAGCAACACGACAACGCGCCAATTCCGTTTCACTTCGTATACTTCTGTCATGCGCTCCCCGTAAATAAGTATTCACGAAATTCGCCCGCACTGAAATACCAATTTGGCGTGTTGGATAATAAATAACTTCTTAGACTTTTTGGTGTGTCGTATTGCTGAGTATTTTTACTCGTTATTTGTATTTTGACCCGCCCTACGGGCTCGTCAAACTACGGCACAACTCGTAAAAATACTCGGTGATACTACACAACAAAACGTCTAATAAAATATATTTATTTGTGGTGTGCTGTAGTCACGATATTTGCTAGGTAAAATGAAGTCAATTTGATAAAATTGTACTCTAAAATAGTCTGCCACTTCTAGTGAGTTACATAGAAAGGTTGCAATAGTA